GCAGGCCGCAGGCTTCGTTGCTGTGGTGACAGGAGCAGGCCTCAAGGCTCTGGGAGTACACAGGCCGCAGGCTTCGTTGCCATGGTGACAGGAGCAGGCCGTAGGCTCTGGGAGTACACAGGCTGTAGGCTTCGTTGCCGTGGTGACAGGAGCAGGCCTCAAGGTTCTGGGAGTACACAGGCCGCAGGCTTCGTTGTCGTGGTGACAGGAGCAGGCCACAGGCTCTGGGACTAGACAGGCTGCAGGCTTCGTTGCCATGGCAACAAAAGCAGGCCGTAGGCTCTGGGAGTACACAGGCTGCAGGCTTTGTTGCCATGGTGACAGGAGCAGGCCTCAAGGCTCTGGGAGTACACAGGCCGCAGGCCTTGTTTCCATGGCAACAAAAGCAGGCCGTAGGCTCTGGGAGTATGCAGGCCGCAGGCTTCGTTGCTGTGGTGACAGGAACAGGCCGTAGGCTCTGGGAGTACACAGGCCGCAGGCTTCGTTGCCATGGCGACAGGAGCAGGCCTCAAGGCTCTGGGAGTACACAGGCCGCAGGCTTTGTTGCCATGGCGACAGGAGCAGGCCTCAAGGCTCTGGGAGTACACAGGCCGCAGGCTTCGTTGCCGTGGTGACAGGAGCAGGCCTCAAGGCTCTGGGAGTACACAGGCCGCAGGCTTCGTTGTCGTGGTGAGAGGAGCAGGCCACAGGCTCTGGGACTAGACAGGCTGCAGGCCTTGTTTCCATGGCAACAGGAGTAGGCCGTAGGCTTGGCTTCCGTGGTGATAGGAGCAGGCTGCAGGCTTGGTTTCCATGGTGACAAGAACAGGCCGTAGGCTCTGGGAGTACACAGGCTGCAGGCCTCAGGCTTCATTGTCACAGTAGCAGGAGTAGGCCGCAGGCTTCGTTGCCATGACAACGAGAACAGGCCGCACATTTCAAGGGTGCACAGGCTTTGTTGCCACAGCGACAGGAGCAGGCCTCAAGGCTTTGGGAGTGCACAGGTCTCGGGCTTCGATGCCATGGCAACAGGAACAGGCCTTGGCCCCCGTTACCATGGCAACAGGAACAGGCCTTGGCCCTCGTTACCATGGCAACTGGAGCAGGCCTCAGGCTTCGTTACCATGGCAACAGGAACAGACCTCGGCCCTCATTACCATGGCAACAGGAACAGGCCTCGGCCCTCATTACCATGGCAACAGGAACAGGCCGCAGGCTCCGGCCTAGTCCATCTTGTGCCATTTTGGGTCCTCCCTCGGCCATTTTGGGCCTTCCTCCCCCTCCACCCTCCTCCCCCAAATGACCCCCAAGCCCCGCCTTAAAGCAGCTTTGCCCCTCCCCTCCCCCCCAAGATACTGCCACGGCTTTGGCCCTCCCCAGTCCAAACCCACATGGCCCAGTTCGAACTGAGCTCAAACTGGGCCAGCTCTGGGTGACCCAAAATACTGACAAAGGCGCCCTCCCGCCAACCCTGGCTAAAAAAAGCCCTTAATTAGGCTAAAAAAACCTCATTATGGATAATTCCCCCTTCCTAAAAAAGCTACAAAATGGGGGTGAGAAGAGCTGAGAGCCCCCCAAAAAACCCCCCCAGGGTGGGAACAGTGTCCTGGGCCCCCCCTTAGGGCGGTTTTGGGGGGGCTCAGGGGGGTCCTTGTCCGTGGGCCCGGCCCCGTCCTGCACCTCCGGGGGGTCCCAAAGGTCCACATGTGTCTCCCCTCCCCATCGCCGGCGGTGGGTTTGGGGGTCCCAGGGGGTCCTGGGGGCTGAGCCGGGTTACTGACGGCAGGACTCATCTGGAGGGGGAAAGGGAGGGCACAGGGTCAGGGACCACCATGAGCCCCTCAAATCCCCCAGACCCCCATTATCCCCAAAACCCTCCCCAACCCCACCCTAGACTCCCGTTACCCCCATCTCAAACCCCCCAGAACTCCAATTACCCCCTAAAGGCCCCTCCGGGACCCCCATTATGCCCCAGGACCCTGTTACTCCCCCAAACCCTCCCCAACCTTCTCCCGACCCCCATTACCCCCATCAAACCCTCCCCAAAGCCCCTCTGACCCCATTAGCCCCCCAAAGCCCCCACCCCAAACCCCTCTCAAACATCCTAGACCCCCATTACCCCCAAAGCCCACCCAGGACCCCCATTAGCTCCCCCAAAGCCCCCCCCAAACCCCTCTCAAACATCCCAGGACCTCATTACCCCCAAAGCCCACCCAGCACCCCCAGTACCCTCCCAGAGCCCCCTGGGCCCACCCACCCACGATGAGGGCTCGGCCCCGCAGCCCCCGGCAGCCCCTGCAGCGGGGGCTCCTCCTCGTCCTCCTCGTCGTCGGGGCCCCGGGGGTCCTGGGGCCTCGAGGGTCCCCAGGCCGCCAGCACCGCCCCCTCGGAGGGGTACGAGAAGGTTCGTTCCAGGTCCCGCTCGCTGAACCAGATCTTCAGCTGGGGGTGGGGGACAGGGGACAGTGGGACACCCCGGGGACAGTGGGGACACCCTGGGGACAGTGGGGACACCCTGGGGACAGGGGGACACCCTGGGCAGGGACACCCATGGGGACAGGGGACAGTGGGGACACCCCTGGGGACAGGGGGACACCCCGGGGACAGGGGGACACCCCGGGGACAGGGGGACAGTGGGGACACCCCTGGGACAGGGGACACCCCGGGGACAGTGGGGACACCCCGGGGACAGGGGGACAGTGGGGACACCCCTGGGACTAGGGACACCCCTGGGGACAGTGGGGACACCCCTGGGGACAGGGGGACAGTGGGGACACCCCGGGGACAGGGGGACACCCATGGGGACAGGGGACAGTGGAGACACCCCGGGGACAGTGGGACACCCCGGGGACAGGGGGACACCCCTGGGGACAGGGGGACACCCATGGGGACAGGGGGACAGTGGGGACACCCCCGGGGACAGGGGGACACCCATGGGGACAGGGGGACACCCCCGGGGACAGGGGGACACCCCTGGGGACAGGGGACACCTGGGGACAGGGGACACCCCTGGGGACAGGGGACACCCCTGGGGACAGGGGACAGTGGGGACACCCCTGGGGACAGTGGGGACACCCTGGGGACAGGGGGACACCCCTGGGGACAGGGGACAGTGGGGACACCCCTGGGGACAGGGGGACACCCATGGGGACAGGGGGACACCCCCGGGGACAGGGGGACACCCCCGGGGACAGGGGGACACCCCCGGGGACAGGGGGACAGTGGGGACACCCCCGGGGACAGGGGGACACCCATGGGGACAGGGGGACAGTGGGGACACCCCCGGGGACAGGGGGACACCCATGGGGACAGGGGGACAGGGGGACCCCCCCGGGGACAGGGGGACAGTGGGGACACCCCCGGGGACAGGGGGACACCCATGGGGACAGGGGGACAGTGGGGACACCCCCAGGGACAGGGGGACAGGGGGACACCCCCGGGGACAGGGGGACACCCATGGGGACAGGGGACAGTGGGGACACCCCTGGGGACAGGGGGACACCCCCGGGGACAGGGGGACACCCATGGGGACAGTGGGGACACCCCCGGGGACAGGGGGACACCCATGGGGACAGGGGGACACCCCCGGGGACAGGGGACAGTGGGGACACCCCGGGGACAGGGGACACCCCAGGGACAGGGGACAGGGGGACACCCATGGGGACAGGGGACACCCCTGGGACAGGGGGACAGTGGGGACACCCCCGGGGACAGGGGGACACCCCCAGGGACAGGGGGACAGTGGGGACACCCATGGGGACAGGGGGACAGTGGGGACACCCCTGGGTGACATTAAGGGGGCATTGGGAACATCAGGGACACCCTGTGGGGGGGGGGCACACTGGGGTGACACTGGGGGAGTTGGGGACACCCTGGGGACACCTTTCTCCCCTCGAGGGTTCCCATGGTGATTAATCCCTCCCGTGTTAATCGTAATTAATGGGGGAGAAGTGGGGAGGGGCCACGCGTGGCCACCGTGGAAACCACTTCCTTCCCCTCCCCCTCCCCCCCCCAGTTCCTGTTTTCTGGGGGCCCCGAAGGATTTTGGGTAACACTGGGGAGAGCTGACCTCCCCCCCCCTTTAACCACAGACCCCAAAATTGGGGGTCCCGGGGTGGGGGAGGGAGGCAGGAAAGGACACCCCAAAAAAAAAAGGGGGGGATTTGGGTGTTCGGGACCCCCCCCAAAAATCTCCACTTTGGGGTCTGTTGGACACCTCCAAATGGGGAGGTGAAAGGGGGGAACAGAGACCGGGGACACAGAAGGACAAGAGGGGACATGAGAGGACTCAAAGGGACTCAGGGGGATGGGGGGGACACGGGAGGACTTGAGGGGACACACAGGGACACCTGGGGAGACACAGGGGGTCGTGGGGGGGACATGAGGGGACCCAAAGGGACCTGAGGGGCCCCAAAGGGACAGAGGGGACAAGAAGGGACACAGGGGGGACATGAGAGGACCTTTGGGGACACAAAGGGACCCAAGGGGACAGGGGCGACCTAAGAGGACCCAAAGGGGTAGGGGGTCCCGAGGGGCCCCAAAGGGATGGATGGGACAAGAGGGGAGACCCGAAAGGACTCAAAGGGACACAAGGGGTGCCCCCAAAGGGACAAGAGGGAACAATGGGGGACCCAAAGGGACAGGGGGGGACCCAGAGGGACCCAGAGGGGAGGGTGGGTACCTTCTTGCGGTGGGGGTCGTTCTTGGCCAGGCAGGAGCGGGGCAGGGCCAGGTACCCCCCGATGACCTGGATCTGCTCGGCCGTGGGGTAGCGCTTCTTGGGGGCGCAGGGGGGCCGGGGGTCCCCTCGGGGCTGGGGAGGGGCTGGGGGCAGGGTCGTGCCCCCTGCGCCGGGGCCGCACCGTGATGGTGTTCCTGCTGCGGCGCTGAAGGGCTGGGTGGGTCTGGGGGCCCGGGAGGGGCCCGGGGGTCCCGGCGGGTCCTCGCATTGTCACAGTCCCGGGGACACCTCCCTCCCCGCCCCCGGCGACACCCCGGCACCGCCCCCGGCACCGCCCTCCGGGGGCACCGACGGGGGTGGGGCGGGCACGGGGACACGGGGGACACGGGGGCGGGGGGACATGGGAGTCCCACAGCCATTGGTTGGCCCCGTGACCTCATGGCCATCAACTGTCCCTTGTCCCCCTGGTGACCCCTGATGACCCCCTGGTGTCCCCTGATGTCCCCCTGGTGACCCCTGATGTCCCCCTGGTGACCCCTGATGACCCCCTGGTGTCCCCTGATGTCCCCCTGGTGTCCCCTGATGTCCCCCTGGTGACCCCTGATGTCCCCCTGGTGATCCCTGATGTCCCCCTGATGTCCCCTGATGTCCCCCTGGTGACCCCTGATGACCCCCTGGTGACCCCTGATGTCCCCCTGGTGACCCCCGTCCCTCCACCACCTTCCAGCTCTTGACCATGCCCTTGACTGTCCCCTGTCCCTCCACTGTCCCCTGTCCCCTGGCTGTCCCCAGCCCCTCAGGTGACCCCCCATTGGTGACCAGCCCGTGGCCCTTGCCTGCCCTGGGGATCTCGGCCGTCCCCTGTCCTTCGGGGGCCTTGGTTGACCCCTCCCCATCCTCGGGCCCCTCACTGGTGGTTGACCCGGGACCTTTGCCTGTCCCTTGTCCCTCTGCTGTCCCCTGTCCTCCCGCTGTCCCCTTGGCCACCCCCCAGCCCTTGACCGTCCCCTGTCCCTTGGTCGTCCCCAGAGCCTCTTTTGTTGTCCCCACACTGGTGACCAACCCGTGTCCTTTGACTGTCCCTTGTCCCTCCACTGTCCCCATGCCCTCGGCTGTCCCTAGACCCTCCACTGTCCCCAAAGTGTGTCCCTTGAACATCCAGGGGGTCTTGGTCACCTGCTGACCCTCAGCTGTCCCCGTGTCCTTGGTTGACCTCAGACCATCCACTGTCCCCATCCTGGGGGCCTCAGCCGCTTGATGTCCCTCGACTGTTCCCAACCCGTGGCCCTTGACCATCCCCTGTCCTTCCACTGCCCCCTGTCCCTTGGCTGCCCCCAAACCATCAGCCGTCCCCATGCTGGTGACCAATCCGTGTCCCTCCACTGCCCCCTGTCCTTTGGCTGGCCCCAGACCACCCCCTGTCCCCCCCCTGCTGGTGACCGTCCCCCGTCCCCTGCCTGCCGTGGGGGTCTCGGCCGTCCCCCCGGGGGTGTCTGACCCCCGTCCCTGTTCCCGCTGGTCCCTCTGATGTCCCTGGTCCCCTTGGTGTCCCTGTTGTTGTCCCTGATGTCCCTGTTCCCCCCAGTCCCCTTGGTGTCCCTGGTCCCCCCGTTCCCCTGGGGGGGCTGTCGGGGAGCCCCTCGGAGCTGCGGGACCTGCCGGGGGGTCCCTGGGGGGCGAAGCGGCTGCGCAGGCGGCTGACGCGGCCCCGCGGCCCCTCGGGGGTCCCGCACAGCTCCAGCCCCTCCGAGCTGCGGCTCAGCCCCCCCAGGGACGACCCCCCCCCATCGCCCGGGGGGGCCGCCGGGACCGGCCCCCCACCCCTGGCCCGGCGCCGCTCCAGCAGCTCCCGCTTCCAGGGCGGCACTTGGGCCGCGCGGTCCCGGCGCTCCCGTTCCCGCTGCCGCGCGGCCTCCTCCTCCCGCCGGCGCCGCTCCAGCAGCTCCCGCTTCCAGGGGGGAACCTCCATCCTGGGGACAGAGGGAATGGAGAGAATGGGATCAGTGGGATCAATGGGATCATCATCATCATCATCATCATCCTCCTCCTCCCGCCGGCACCGCTCCAGCAGCTCCCGCTTCCAGGGGGGAACCTCCATCCTGGGGACAGAGAGAATGGAGAGAATGGGATCAGTGGGAACTGCCATCATCATCATCATCATCATCCTCCTCCTCCCGCCGGCGCCGCTCCAGCAGCTGCAGCTTCCAGGGGGGAACCTCCATCCTGGGAATAGAGGGAATGGAGAGAATGGGATCAATGGGATCAATGGGATCAATGGGAACTGCCATCATCATCATCATCATCATCATCCTCCTCCCGCCGGCGCCGCTCCAGCAGCTCCCGCTTCCAGGGGGGAACCTCCATCCTGGGGACAGAGGGAATGGAGAGAATGGGATCAGTGGGAGCAATGGGATCATCATCATCATCGTCATCATCATCATCCTCCTCCCGCCGGCACCGCTCCAGCAGCTGCAGCTTCCAGGGGGGAACCTCCATCCTGGGAACAGAGGGAATGGAGAGAATGGGATCAGTGGGACCAGTGGGAGCAATGGGATCAGTGGGATCAGTGGGATCAATGGGAGCAATGGGATCTGTCATCATCATCATCATCCTCCTCCTGCTGGTGCTGCTCCAGCAGCTGCAGCTTCCAGGGGGGAACCTCCATCCTGGGGACAGAGGGAATGGAGAGAATGGGATCAGTGGGATCAATGGGATCAGTGGGATCAATGGGAACTGCCATCGCCATCATCATCATCATCATCATCATCCTCCTCCTCCCGCCGGCGCCGCTCCAGCAGCTGCAGCTTCCAGGGGGGAACCTCCATCCTGGGGACAGAGAGAGTGGGATCAGTGGGATCAATGGGAGCAATGGGATCAATGGGAACTGCCATCATCATCATCATCATCATCCTCCTCCTCCCGCCGGCGCCGCTCCAGCAGCTGCAGCTTCCAGGGGGGAACCTCCATCCTGGGGACAGAGGGAATGGAGAGAATGGGATCAGTGGGATCAATGGGAACTGCCATCATCATCATCCTCCTCCTGCTGGTGCTGCTCCAGCAGCTGCAGCTTCCAGGGGGGAACCTCCATCCTGGGACAGAGAGAATGGAATCAGTGGGATCAATGGGATCAATGGGATCTGTCATCATCATCATCATCATCCTCCTGCTGGTGCTACTCCAGCAGCTGCAGCTTCCAGGGGGGAACCTCCATCCTGGGGTGGGAACAGCGGGAATGGCATCAGTGGGAATGGGAACGACCGTCCTGGGATGGGAGCGACGGGAATGGGAGGAATGGGAGCAATGGGAACGGGAATGAGATCAATGGGAATGGGATCAGTGGGAACAAGAACAGCCATGCTGGGATGGGAGCAATAGGAATGGGATCAGTGGGAATGAGAACGGGATCCATGGGAATGGGAACCGCCATCCTGGAAAGGGAGCAACAGGAAAGGCATCAATGGGAAAGGGATCAATGGGAATGGGATCAGTGGGAATGGGATGAATGGGAATGGGATCAGTGGGAGTGGGATGAATGGGAATGGGATCATTGCAAAAGGGATCAATGGGAATGGGATCCATGGGAACAGGATCAGTGGGAATGGGAATGGGATCGATGGGAATGGGATCAATGGGAGTGGGAATGGGCACCCTGGAGTGGGATGGGAATGGAGTCAGGGGGAATGGGAACAGCCATCCTGGGGGACAGGGGACACCAGGGAGGGGACAGCTGGGGACATCAGCCACTGTCAGCCCTTCCAGTGCCTGGTGGCCTTTTAGGGGAGGGGGGAGGGGACACAATCTGGAGGTCCCACAAATCGGGGGGAGGGGACACAAGTATTTGGGGTCCCAGACATCCAGGGGTCCTGGAGTCTGGGGGCAGGGGGTGGTCCTAGGACATCCAGGGTGGGGTCCAAGTGTCCTGGGGGTCCCGGGACATCCAGGGATCCCGGGAGTCTGGGGGTGGGGTAGGTGGTCCTAGGACATCCAGGGTGGGGTCCAAGTGTCCCGGGGGTCCTGGGACATCCAGGGGTCCAGGAGTCTGGGGAGCAGGGGGTGGTCCTAGGACATCAGGTGGGGCCAAGTGTCGGGGGTCAGGACATCCAGGATCCAAAATGCCGCGGGGGGTCCAGACCTCCGGAAGAGCCAGGGCGCTGCAAGAGGGCTGAAGGACCCTGGGGTCGGGGGGCTCTGAGACACCTGAGGGGCACCCAAGGTTGGGGGAGGGGGGCAGAGGCCTCAGGACTCCCAAACCCCAGAATCAGGGAGAGGTGTGGCCAGGGAGGGGAGTGGGATCAGGACGTTCAGGCGCGACCGGAGCCTTTGTGGGGGATGAGTGGAAAAAGGGAATCCGCCCCTCCCCACCAGTGGAGACTCCCACCCACCCCTCTCCCATCTCCGGAGGGGGTCCCAAAATACTCACCCCAGGCCGGAGGCGGGAGGTGGCAGGCGGAGAGGGGAGGAGGAGGAGGAGGAGGAAGAGGGGGGAGGAAAGAGGAGGGAGGGGGGATGAAAAGCGGCTTTTCCCTGCGCAGGTGGGAGTGGGGGAGGGGCGTGGGGGTGGGGGAGGGGCAGGACGAGGCAGAAGAGAGTGCAGGGCCCCCCTCTTTGTGAGGTTTGGGGGTGGGGAGAGAGGGCGCAGTTAACTCCCCAAAAATGCACGGGGGGCAGGGGAGGGGGTTTGCCGGGGAAGGGGAGGGAATTCCAGGGATTTGGGGAGGCAGGGCTGGGAATCCGCAGGGGATCCACCCACGGGGATGGGGGGAGGGGAGGAAGGACCTTCCTGGAGCCCCCAAGGAAGGGAGGGAGAAGGGGGCTCCTCTTTGTGTGAGGAAAAGGGGAGAGGCGGGGCTTGCGCGGAGGGGCAGGGCCACGCGCCCTGTTATTGTAGGGTCGCTGCCGGCAGCTTTCACCGCGCGGGAGGCGGGAAGGAAGAGCGGCCCCGGATGGGGTTTTTTTGGGGGCGACCCCCGAGATCGTCCCAAACAGGGAGGGGATCCTAATCCTCCTAATCCCCAAATCCCTCCAGACCCTCCAAATCCCCGAATTTCTTCACCCCGAGGACCCCTCTGGATCCCAAATCCCCCAACCCTCAAATCCCCCACTCCCTCAAATACCCCAAACACCTCCTCACATCACCCCCCAACACCCCAAAACCCCTCAAATCCCCTAAATTCCCGCTCCTGGGGAGGAGGAGGGGCACACCCACCCTCCCCACACCCTTTAATAGGCGATTTCGCCACCCAAAAACCCGCCCCAAACCACGGGGGCCCCTGCCCTCACCTGGGGGGTCCCACCCACCCAAAACTGCGGGGTGGGGGAGGAGGAGGGTCGGCGTCGGCCGCACCCACCACACCCAAACCTGACCCCGATCCCGACCCTGACCCCAAACCTGACCCCAAACCTGACCCCAAACACATCCAGGTGACCTCTGATCCCCCCAAAAATGGCCCTGACCCCAAACCTGAGCACAGAGGTACCCAGGTGACCTCTGATCCCCCCAAAAATGGCCCTGACCCCAAACCTGACCCCAAACACACCCAGGTGACCTCTGATCCCCCCCAAAAATGGCCCTGACCCCAAACACATCCAGGTGACCTCTGACCCCAAAAATGGCTGACCCAAATGTTCAAACACACCCAGGTGACCTCTGATCCCCCCAAAAATGGCCCTGACCCCAAACCTGACCCCCTAAAGGGATCCAGGTGAGCCCTGGCCCCTCATTTTGGGGGGACAGGTGAGCTCTGACCCCCCCCCCCAAAAAAAAAGGGATGCAGGTGTGTTCAGGTGCCCCCAGGTGTGACCGGGATGTGTCCCAAATGCCCCTCCAGGTGTCCCAGGTGTGTCCAGGTGTGTTCCCAGGTGTCCCAGGTGTGTTCCCAGCTATCCCAGGTGAGTCCCAGATGTCTCAGGTGCCCCCCCAGCTATCCCAGGTGTGTCCCAGGTGCATCCAGGTGTGTTCCCAGCTATCCCAGGTGTGTCCCAGGTGTGTTCCCAGGTGTGTCCAGGTGCCCCCCCAGCTATCCCAGGTGTGTCCCAGGTGTCCCAGGTGTGTTCCCAGCTATCCCAGGTGTGCCCCAGGTGTCCCAGGTGTGTTCCCAGCTATCCCAGGTGTGTCCCAGGTGTCCCAGGTGTGTCCAGGTGTGTTCCCATCTATCCCAGGTGCGTCCCAGCTGTCCCAGGTGTGTTCCCAGCTATCCCAGGTGCGTCCCAGCTATCCCAGGTGTGTTCCCAGCTATCCCAGGTGTGTCCCAGGTGTGTTCCCAGGTGTGTCCAGGTGCCCCCCCAGCTATCCCAGGTGTGTTCCCAGCTATCCCAGCTATCCCAGGTGTGTCCCAGATGTCTCAGGTGCCCCCCCAGCTATCCCAGGTGCATCCCAGGTGTCCCAGGTGTGTTCCCATCTATCCCAGGTGTGTTCCCAGCTATCCCAGGTGCCCCCCCAGCTATCCCAGGTGTGTTCCCATCTGTCCCAGGTGTGCGTCCCAGGTGAGTCCCAGATGTCTCAGGTGCCCCCCCAGCTATCCCAGGTGCGTCCCAGGTGTGTTCCCAGGTGTGTCCAGGTGTCCCCCCAGCTTTCCCAGGTGTGTTCCCAGCTATCCCAGGTGTGCCCCAGGTGTCCCAGGTGTGTCCAGGTGTGTTCCCATCTATCCCAGGTGCGTCCCAGCTGTCCCAGGTGTGTTCCCAGCTATCCCAGGTGTGTCCCAGGTGTCCCAGCTGTGTCCAGGTGTGTTCCCAGGTGTGTCCAGGTGCCCCCCCAGCTATCCCAGGTGTGTTCCCAGCTATCCCAGGTGCCCCCCCAGCTATCCCAGGTGTGTCCCAGCTATCCCAGGTGTGTTCCCAGCTATCCCAGGTGTGTTCCCAGCTATCCCAGGCGTGTCCCAGGTGTCCCAGGTGTGTCACCAGGTGTGTCCCAGCTGCCCCCTCCCCCCCCCAAGCGGGTCAATCCCAGTGACTCAGGGGGAGGGCCCGGCCCCTCCCCCCCCCGGGCGCTATTTAAGGTGTCCCCCGTGCCCAGGTGTCCCCAAGGTGTCCCCAAGGTGTCCCCAAGGTGTCCCCAAGGTGTCCCCGGCCATGGCCCCGCCCCCACCCAGGACCCTCCTGCTTGCTGCTGCTGCTGCTGGGCGGCCCCCCAGGTGGGACTGGGGGCACTGGGACGGACTGGGAGGGACTGGGAGGGGGATTAGGGGCACTGGGAGGGACTGGGAGGAGGACTGGGGGCACTGGGAGAGGATTTGGGGGCACTGGGAGGGAGGCTGGACCAGGGAATGGAGGCACTGGGAGAGACTGGGAAATGGAATGGGGGCACTGGGAGGGAGACTGGGGGGACTGGGAGGGACTGGGACGGACTGAGATGGAGAATGGGGGGACTGGGATAGACTGGGAGGGAGACTTGGGGGACTGAGGGGCACTGGGAGAGACTGGGACAGGGAATGGGGGAGCGGAAGGGACTGGGACGGGGAGTGGGGGGACATTGTGGGGACTGGAATAGACTGGGAGGGACTGGGAGGGAGATTATGGGAGGAGGGGAACTGGGAAGGACTGGGATGGGGAGCGGGATAGACTGGGAGGGGCTGTGATTAGGACTGGGATAAACTGGGAGGGACTGGGATTAGGACGGGAGGGACGCTGTGGGGACGCGAACTGGGGCAGGGACTGGGAGGGACTGATGGGGGAACTGGGAGGGACTGGGGTGACGGGGGTGGACTGGAATGGGGACTGGGATGGGGACTGGGATGAACGGGACAGAGATGGGGGTTGCTGGTCCATACTGGTCCGTACTGGTCCCCCCTCCCCTCAGCCACCTCTGCCCGCTGTGACTCCAACTCCGGGTCCCGCCTGGAGCCGCTGCCGGCGGGGGTCGATCCCTGCAAGGATCCCCCGGGAATCCTCAGCCCCCAGCGAGGGGGGGACACGGACACGGACACTGACACGGACACGGGCGGAGCCGCTTCCTCGGGGAGCTCCGGCTCCTACGGGGGAAACTCCGGATCCTACGGAGGCAGCTCGGGATCCTACGGGGGATCGGGATCCTCTGGGGGTAGACCAGGATCCTCTGGAGGTGGATCGGGATCCTACGGAGGATCAGGATCCTCTGGAAGCTCCGGGTCCTACGGGGGCACTCAGATCTCTGAGCTCTGGGTCCTATGGTGGATCTGGATCCTACGGGAGTGGATCAGGATCCCTGGAAGCTCTGGGTCCTATGGTGGATCTGGATCCTACGGGAGTGGATCAGGATCCTCTGGAGGTGGATTTGGATCCTACGGGGGGTCGGGATCCTACGGGAGCGGATCGGGATCCTCCGGCGATTCGGGATCCTACGGACTCGGGTCCTATGGGGGCGGATCAGGATCAGGGAGACCTGGATCGGGCAGACCTGGATCCCAGGGGGGAATTGGATCAGGGAGACCTGGATCCCAGGGAGGAATTGGATCAGGGAGACCTGGATCTCAAGGGGGAATTGGATCTGGATCAGGCAGACCTGGATCCCAAGGGGGGATTGGATCAGGATCAGGCAGACCCGGATCAGGATCAGGCAGTGGATCCCAGGGAGGAATTGGATCAGGATCAGGCAGACCTGGATCCCAAGGGGGAATTGGATCTGGGTCAGGTAGACCTGGATCCCAAGGAGGGAGTGGATCTGGATCGGGAAGACCTGGATCAGGATCAGGTAGTGGATCCCAAGGGGGGATTGGATCAGGATCAGGCAGACCCGGATCAGGATCAGGTAGTGGATCCCAAGGGGGGATTGGATCGGGATCAGGCAGACCTGGATCAGGATCAGGCAGTGGATCCCAGGGAGGAATTGGATCGGGATCAGGCAGACCTGGATCAGGATCAGGCAGCGGATCCCAAGGCGGGGGTGGATCCGGATCCTCTGGGGGCCTGGATTCCTACGGGGACAACTCAGGATCCTACGGCCTGCCCGAGTCCTATGGGGACGACTTGGGATCCTATGGGGGTGGACAGGGATCCTACGGGGGTGGATCGGGATCCTACGGGGGCTCAGGATCCTATGGGGGCAGACCAGGATCTTATGGAAGACCAGGATCTTACGGGGCTGGATCGGGATCCCAGGGGGGCAGACCGGGATCCTCTGGAAGACCGGGATCCTATGGGGGTGGACAGGGATCCTATGGAGGGTCTGGATCGTATGGGGGCAGGCCAGGATCCTATGGAGGGTCTGGATCCGGAGGATCCTATGGAGGAGGACCAGGATCTTATGGGGGTGGATCGGGATCCTATGGAGGGTCGGGATCCTATGGGATGGGATCCTATGGAAGGTCGGATCCTATGGGGGAGGATCGGGATCCTATGGAGGGTCTGGAAGACCAGGATCCTATGGGGGTGGATCAGGATCCTATGGAGGAGGACCAGGATCTTATGGGGGTGGATCGGGATCTTATGGAGGGTCGGGATCCTATGGAGGGTCGGGATCCTATGGAGGGTCGGGATCCTATGGAGGACCGGGATCCTATGGGAGTGGATCGGGATCCTATGGGGGTGGATTTGGATCCTATGGAGGGTCGGGATCCTATGGAGGAGGACCGGGATCCTATGGAGGGTCTGGATCCTCTGGAAGACCAGGATCCTATGGGGGTGGATCGGGATCTTATGGAGGGTCGGGATCCTATGGAAGACCGGGATCCTATGGAGGAGGACCGGGATCCTACGGGGGTGGATCTGGATCCTATGGGGGTGGATTTGGATCCTATGGAGGGTCAGGATCCTATGGAGGGTCAGGATCCTATGGAGGGTCTGGATCCTCTGGAAGACCAGGATCCTATGGGGGTGGATCAGGATCCTATGGAGGGTCGGGATCCTATGGTGGGGTGGGATCCTATGGAAGACCGGGATCCCACGGGCTGGGGTCCGGATCTGGATGGGGGTGGCATACTGGATCCTATGGAGGGATCTGGGCATCCTCTGGAGTGGGATCCAGGGGATCCCTGGAGAGGATCCGAGTCCCTCGAGCTGTGGGGGTGCAGGGACCCGGGGGTCACGGAATCCCTCAGGATGCCCCGGATCCATGTGCGCCAGCAAAGTCGCTGGATCTGACATGAGACTGGCACCGATCCTAAGGAGGCTCAAATGCCTCTGCAGATGTGACCAGCTGTGATCCTATGGAGGGTCGGGAATCACTCCTGGAGGGATCAGGCTGGGGACACTGGGACATGGAATCGGACACTGGGATGGGATACACTAGGCATGTCGATGCCGGAGGCTGCGGGACAACTGGGCACGGATTGGGACACTGGATGGGGACACTGGTGACACTGGGGACAACTGCAGGAGGGGAATGCAGGGACACTGGGATGCGGAACACTGGGACACTGAGGACACTGATGATGGACACTGGGATGGACATGGGACACTGGGGACAACTGGGAATGGAATGGGACACTGGGACTGGGGACACTGAGAATGGGGACACTGATGAACACTGGGGACACTGATGGGATACACTGGGGACACTGGGGACAACTGGGATGGACTGGGACACTGCCTGGGACACTGGGGACACTGGGACACTGGGATGGGAACACTGGGGACACTGGGGACACTGGGATGGGGACACTGGGGACACTGGGGACAACTGGGAGTGGAATGGGGACACTGGGATGGGGACACTGGGGACACTGGGGACACTAGGGACAACTGGGAATGGACTGGGGACACTGGGAATGAGGACACTGAGAAAGGGGACACTGGGATGGGGACACTGGGGACACTGGGGATAACTGGGAATGGAATAGGGACACTGGGATGGGGACACTGGGGACAACTGGGAATGGAATGGGGACACTGGGGACACTGGGGATAACTGGGAATGGACTGGGGACACTGGGATGGGATGGGGACACTGGGGACAACTGGGAAGGGGTGGGAACATCAACCAGTCTGAGCCCGCAGGGAGCAGTGCAAGCCCAGTCTGGACCAGTCTGACCCCAGAGGAGCCCAGTCCGGCCCAGTTGGGCCCGGCCCCACCCGCAGCCCCACCCGAGCCCCAGGTGGCCCCTCCCCCACCCCCAGAGGGGCCGGAAGCGCTGGGGGAGGGGCCCCCCCCACCCACGCACCGCCAGACCAGTGCTCCCAGTGCTCCCAGTATGGCCGGTGCCGCCCCACCCGGGCCCCAGGGACCACCCAAACCGGCCGGGGGGACACGCCCAACACCCTCCCCCCTCAAACCCTTCCCCACCCCCACCCCCCCTTTAAGAGCCGGGGGGGACCCTCCCAGTGCTCCCAGTGCCCTCCCAGTGCGTGCCGGAGCCAGCGGGACAGTGACAGGTAGGACCCCCTCCAAATACTGGGGGCACTGGAAGGGACTGGGGGCACTGGGAGCACTGGGGGGGCACTGGGAGCACTGGGAGCGCACTGGGAGCACTGGGTGGGGTGGGGGCACTGGGAGCACTGGGAACGCACTGGGGGGCACTGGGAGGGTCTGGGGTGCACTGGGAGCACTGGGGCCTGACCCTCCTCTTCCTCCTCCCCCTCCAGAATGTCGGACGTCGCCCCGACTCCCCCAAATCCCCAGGGCCCCCGGCCCCTCGAGACCCCCGGGGCCGACCCCTCCCCATGCCGGGGTTCCCGCTGGCCCCGTGGCCCCCTGCCCGACTGGGAGGGGGAGGGGACGGCGACAAGGACGAGGGGACCCCGGGGGGGACATCGGGGACGTCGTCGGGGACATCGGGGACGGGAGGCAACCACTGACCCCAAACGGGCGGCAGCGACCTCGGGGGTCCCCGAGAAGAGCCACCGGTGCCCTGGACCCCCCTCCCCGGGACCTCGAGATGTCCCC